TCCCAGCAACCACATGGTGGCTCACAACCATCTGTAGTGAGATCTGGTGCCCTCTTCTGGCCTGCAGGGGTGTGTGCAGACAGAACACTGTATACATTAAATAAATAAATAAATAAATCTTTAAAAAAAAAAAAAGAAAATGATGATGATTCTTAGTAATAAAAAAAAAATCCCAAAGCCCATTGTGCTACACCAGTGTGTTTCTGCTCTGTATCCCTGTTACAAATACAGAGAAAAGGATTAAAAACGGCAATCCCTGAGCCAGTGAGATGGCTCAGCAGGTAAAAGCTCTTGGCACACAAGCCTAAAAACCTGAATTCAATCCCTGAAGACCATAGTGAAAGGTGAGAAATTGCCTCTGAGAGTTGTCCTCTGATCTCCATAAATGTGTTATGGTATGCAGTCACCAGCACACACACACACACACACACACACACACACATTAATATGAATGAAAATGGGAATCTCTTCTTTGTAGCAGGAATCTTAAAAGTTCTTATTAATAAAATCAAGCCTGAGGCCAGTTATTGGGGTGAAAAGCTGGATGGTCAGAGAAACAGAACTAGCCACAGCTAACCTCACCTGGCCAACTTCTCAGCTGATCTTGTTTCCTCAGGCTGGAAGCCTCTGAGTCCTCATCCAGAGTGAATCTCAGCTGAACTGTGATGCTCCAAAGCTTGAAACCTTAACCAACTAAAAGCTTAACCAGCCAAATGCTTCTAGTTCCTGGCCCTCATGCCTTATATACCTTTCTGCTTTCTACCACCACTCCCTGGGATTAAAGGCTTGCTTTCTGGGATTAAAGGCGTGATGAGTCACCATGCTTGGCTGTATCTTTGAACAGATGGATTTCTGCCTCTGGAATGCTAAGATTAAAGGCGTGAGCTACCACTGCCTATCATCTATGTTTAATATTGTGCCTGTTCTGTCTCTGACCCCAGATAAGTTTATTAGGGTGCACAATATTTTGGGGAACACAATACCACCTCATTTCCCCTTTTTTGTCTAAAATTTAAAAAAGCTTATAACTAATACAAGAAAAACTATCCAATAAGTATATACAACATATACAGTCAAGAATTACATTAACAATGTCGAGTCCATTAACATTTGACAGATTCAGATAAAAACTCCATTATATATATTAACAATGTCCAGTCCAGTAACATTTGATAAACTCAGACAAAAAATGTTTATTACTTATCTTATTTAAAACAAGTAATTCCTTTTTAAAAGTATTTTTTATAATAGATTGAATAATCTACCTTTTGTCATTTTTATATCTTTTTTTAAATTTCTGACCCCAGATAAGTTTATTAGGGTGCACAATATTTTGGGGAACACAATACCACCTCACTTCTTTACAAAAAGTGTCCAATAGTCAATATAGAAAGAAATGGCTGTTTTTTAAAATGGAGATGTGGTCTCATTGTGCAGTCCCCCCCCCACACACACACACACTGGAATAGAACTTACTGTGTAGATTAGTTTGACTTCAGACTTGAGGTGATCCTCCCAAGTGCTAGTGTAACTAATAAATCTACCTCTAGGTGGAAGATGCCTTTGTTTTCTCCATGCCCATGTCTCCTCCTCTATGGGTCAATCCAGTGGGACAGGTCAGGGGCCTGGCTGGATGACCACCCCCAGGAAAGTGGATTCACCTTAAGATAATGTACTTTTCCTTCCCCAAATCCCTGCCTGCTAATGTAGTCCTTGTGAGCCAACAGCAACACAGGATCCAGATCCAGTTAGGTTGGCTTCCCTTTCTGAGTTCTGACTATTCAAACTATTCCTATTTTTATTGTATTTTATTAACTATGAAGGGGGAAAAAGCAATGTTTTACAGATAAGAGGTCTGGCAGTCTAGTCCCCACCTAGTGGAAATGGTTGAACTGGCCTGGGTGATATGATGGTATGCTACAGTTATCCCAAGATAAGAGAGGCTAAGATATGAGGATCTTGCGTTAAAGGCCAACCTGGGCTATATAGTAAGTCCCAGACCAGTCTAGAATATATAGTAAGACTTTGCCTCCAAAAGCAAGAACTGGAGTATAGCTCCCCATTGAAGCAATAGTAGATGATAGATAGATAGATAGATAGATAGATAGATAGATAGATAGATAGAATATTAAGATTGGATTCTGGGCTGGAATTAAAAAAACTGATATTGTTGTGAGACGAGAAAATTTAAACATGAACTGAATATGAGCAGACACTGTTGATTATCATTAAATTTTCTAGCTGTGAGAATAGTACTAGAGTTAGGACAGGGAGGAATGACCTTATTAGGAGATGAAGGTTGAAGTTCTTTGAGGTGGAGGATTTATTGTTATTGGTGTTGAACAAAATGTTCTTTTAACTGTTGTATAGGTTTAAGATTTTTCAGCATCAATTATTGGGGGAAACAGTTTAGAAGTAGAAGTGTTTTAAATCAAAAAAATATTTACCAATATAAGTTACTAATTATGATGGTAAAAAAATAAATGATTCTCAGGAGCAGAAAGAATGGAAAACCACTTTACCTCTCTTTCTGAACAGATCCTGGGGATATATACTCAGCTTTAAAAATGGGCCTACAGGGGTTGGAGAGATAGCCAGCTTAAGAGCACTGGCTATTCTTCCAGAGGACCCGGGTTCAATTCCCAGCACCCATATGGCAGCTCAAAACTGTCTGTAACTCCAATTCCAGAGGATGTGACACCCTCACACAGAAAAAATTTAAAAAATAAAATTGCCCTGACCACCAGTGGAATATGAAAATAGCCACCACTTAGCAATCTGGAAAGTAAATAGACCAAATACCATTGAGTTAATTTTAAAACATAGTGAATTTCAAATGAGAAGTAGAATAAATAAATTGGAAGAAATTAATAATATAATATAGAAAATTATCTTGATCTGAGCCATGTGTGTTAGTAATCCCAGCACCAGAAGCATAAATAGGGAGTTCAAGGCCAGCCTGAACTATATAACAAAAATTAAATGTGTGTGGGGTTTTTTTTTGTGTGTGTGTGTGTGAGAGAGAGAGAGAGAGGGAGAGAGAGAGAGAGAGAGAGAGAGAGAGAGAGAGAGAGAGAGAGAGAGAGAGAGAGAGAGAGAGAGAGAGAGGCTTGGTGGCACAGGCCTGTAATCCCACTATTTGGGAGTCTGGGACAAAAATATTGCCACTTTAAGGCCTTCATAGGCTACAGAATACTTTCGAGGCAAATCTGGACAACTTATTGAGCCTGTTTCAAGATAAAAATAAAAGGCTTGAGAACATATCTCAGTGGTAAAGTATTTGCCTAGCATTATGAAGCTCTAGGTTTAATCCTCAGTATCTAACACACACACACACACACACACACACACACACACACACACACACACACACACACTGAAAAAAAGGGACGGAAGGAAATGAGGGAGGAAAGAAGGAGAAAAGCAAAGAAAAGTTATGCCATTCAGGACACAGTACCTTAAAATATACACCTTGGCATTTAATTTGAGAAAGCAAGGAGGCTCCTTTTACCTTCTTTTTGCCCAGTGGTTTTCAACCTTCCAAATGCTGTGACCCTTTAATACAGTTCCTCATGTTGTGGTGACCCCCCCACCATAAAATTATTTTCATTGCTACTTCATAGCTAATTTTTCTACTGTTATGAATCATAATGTAAACATCTGGTATTCAACCGCTGTGAAAGGGTCGGCCCTTTTCCCTTGATATAGGTTGTAAGAACTGTTTTAACCACCTCTAGGGAACCTGGGGAGATGACTGAGCAGTTAAGATCACTTGCTGCTGTCCAAGGATATGAGTTGGGTTCCCAGCACCCACATCAGTGGGCTCACAACCACTTGGCCTGAACTCCATTCCCAGGAGATCTGACACCTTCTGTGGTTATTCACACATATGGCATATACTCTTGCACACACACACATACACATAAATAAAAAATAAAATAAACCTTTTATAAAAAAAAGAACATTTTTTTTAAAGACCTGCCCTATTATCTTAATCCTAACACTTGGGAGGCTGAGATAGGAGGATCAAGAATTGAAAGCCAACCTGGGCTAAATAGTAAAATCTGACTGGAAGCAAATAATTTTCCTCCCTCTCTTGCAGTTGAATATGACAAAGTTCTGATCAATAAGAATGATTAAAAATTAGATATGGGATTTCTAATCATGTATAAGACTCATGAAGTTTTCTTAAATAGAAGGATTATCCTGTCTTCTTCTTCTCCTTCTCTGCTGCCTGGAATGTAGACATGAAAAATAGAATTCAAGTTGCTATCTGAGACCATGAGATGTAAGGAGGCTAGTAGTTGGAGTATGTGCATCTGTTAGTTTCTTTTACATTGTCAGTCCCTTTCTTTTTCTTGAAGTCATTCTTATTTGGATTTTCAGTCACAATTGGTGAATGTCATCTTACTGATATTCCAAACTTTCCCATATACCCCTCCTTCCTCTCTTTCAATTCATGGCCTGGGTTGTGAGATAGCTAGATGATGGATAGGTAGGTAGATAGATAGATAGATAGATAGATAGATAGATAGATAGATAGATAGATAGATAGATAGACAGATAGACATTCTAAATATTGGTCCTTATACTCACAGAAAAATGTAGTCCTCATCCCTCATCAAAGAAACTTCTTTTTGCAATAGACAGAGACAATTACAGAAAACCACAACCAACCAAAATGCAGAGTTATGGAGCCCAGTCACAAGTGAGGCAACTCCTGCACCTCAGGCTCGGGGATCATTGAAGATGAATTGGCAGAAAGATTATAAGAGCCAGAGGAACTGGGAGTTTGCAGTGAGATTGTGTCTCCTGGGAACATCAGAAGCTAATATACTTCTTTTGTGTTTTTGTT